TTAATCACTGCAACTGTCAGAGGCAAAGCAAGTAAATGAATAGGCCATGGCTTCAATAAGGTGCATTTTGGTCTTAAAACGGAAATCATTACTCTTTAGCACTTTGGAAAGGTCCTTGACAGCAAATTTTCTCAGTGTAACATGTCTTCTTATCCCTTGATTGCTGGTACCAATATTGTTGTTTGTGGATCCGGGAAAGATGACATTGTCGACAACTTTAATCTTTTCTCCATCTATCATGATGTTGCCTTTTGGCCCAGTTAAAGACAGCAGCAGTCAAGAAATCAAAAGACATGTTGCATTTGGCAAATCAAATGTCAGAGACCTCTTTAAAGTGCTAAAAAGCAAGGATGTCAGTTTCAAGGCTAAGGTTGTGCCTGACTCAAGCCATGGTATTTTTTGTTCCTTCATATCTATGTGTAAGTTGGATAGTTAGTATCTTTGAATTGTGATATTGGCAAAGAGTATTGACTATACTGTGTATTGCCAAAAGCACAACAAATCTGTGTTAGAGGAAGTACTTCCAGGGTGCTCCCTAGAGACAAAGATGTTGAAACTTTGTCCCACATACTTTGGGCATGTTGTCAGAAGAGCCCAGTCCTTGGAAAATGACATTATGCTGGGGAAAGTAGAGGGTCTGTGAAAGAAAGTCTCAAAGTGAATTGGCACAATGACTGTAATAATGGGCAGTAGAAGGCAAAGTTCAGATCTATTATTTTTAATTAATTTTATTTTAAATTTGATTCCATACAAAATTTGTATGTATTCTGTTCCATTCATACACACTGTATTTCACACATTCCTTCATTCACATAGTGTTTCATATGGTCAGATATATTATCGTACATACATCTTAGGGTCACTGTGAGTTGTAAATAGCACCAAATAACAACCATTCCCACTCCCCAAGGATTATCACTATTCATAGTGACCTTCTTTGCAAACATTTATTTTCATACACACACACACACACACACACACACACACATGTTTTCTTATAACACCAGTTGACGTATTTCAGCAAACAGATGCTGTCCTAGATGTACTCACCAAGTTGTGCCAAGAAATCTGGAGGACAACTACTTGACCAGCTGACTGGAAGAGATCCATATTTATTCCCCTTCAAAAAAAAAGGTGACCTGACAGAGTGTGGAAATTATTAAACAATATCACTAATAACACACACCAGCAAAATCCTGATGAAGATTATCCAGAAACAATTGGAACAGTACATTGACAGAGAACTACCAGAAATACAAGCTGGGTTTACAGGAGGTCATGGCACTAAAGATATTATTGCCAAAGTCAGATGGATCTTGGCAGGAAGCAGAGTACCAGAAGAATGTCTGTCTGTGTTTCATTGACTATACAAAGGCATTTGACTGTGTGGATCACAACAAATTGTGACCAGCCTTCAGGAAAATGGGAATCCCAGAACACTTGATTGTGCGAAACCTATACTTGGACCAAGAAGCAGTTCTCAAAATAGAGTAAAGAAACACATCATGGTTCAAAATCAGGAAGGCAGTGTGTCAGGGATGCATCCTTTCCCATTACCTTTTCAATCTGTATGCAGAAAAGATCATTTGGGAAACAAGTCTTTATGAGGAGGAGTGTGGCATCAAGATTGGAGGAAGACTCATCAACAACCTACATTATGCAGATGACACAATCCTGCTTGCTGAAACTGAAGAGAACCTGAAGCGCTTGCTGCAGAAGGTCAAGGACTGTAGTCTTCAATATGGATTGAAGCTCAGCATCAAGAAGACAAAAGATTCTCACCACTGGGCCAATTGACAGCACCATGATAGATGGAGAAGAGACTGAGGTTGTTAGCAATTATGGCTTGCTCAGCTCCACAAACAACACTCTTGGCACCAGCAGTCAGGAAATAAAAAGATGAATTGTATTGGGAAAATCTGCTGTCATGGACCTCTCCAGAGTGCTGAAGAGCAGCAATGTCAGTTTAGAGACAGAGGTGCACCTAATCCAGGCCATGGTCTTCTATTTGTTATGCTTCAGAGAGTTGGACAATGACTAAAGATGACAGAAGAATAAATGCCTTCAATTTGTGGTTCTGGAGATAGTCTTGAACATACAACGGACTGCCAACAAAACAAAATTGGTTTGTCTTTGAGAGGATAAAATCAAGTCTCTCCTTGGAAGCTAGGATTTTGAAGCTCCATCACACATACATTGGGCACGTGGCTAAGAGAGACCAGTCCTTGGAGAAGGACATCATGCTCAGAAGGGTGCAGGGACAGTGCAGGTGAGGAAGACCCCAGATGAGATGAATTGATATAGTATCTGGAAAAATGGAGGCTGGTGTGTTGAAATTAGTGATACTGGCAGGGCAGGGCAGATTCAGAGCTGCTGTCGTAGGTGACTCAACAGCACATAACAACAACATACTATATTGGTTATTTTTTATTTAAGCTTCTGGTTTAGAGTCAACAAGACATTGGGGAGGGCCTTTGTATTTAAAAGTTGGTTGTTCTTTTGGAAGAACATTTTTCTAAGTGGTACAGCACTTTGTCAGTATGCTATACTGAAGTAACCTGGGATTGCTGTGATGCTGAACATTGTGTCTTTGGGGTGTCAAGTGCTATAATGGTTACCCATGGTGGATAGTGTTTGGTGGAGCTCCAATTTTAAGACAGGTTTGGAAGCAGAAGTGACATCCACTTCCTAAACAACATGCCTCTGGAAACTCCATGAACTTTGATAAATGACAATAGTTATAGAAAGGCCTTTTGTTAACAGGGTCGCTATGAGTCGTGCTTGACTCGATGGCAGTCAATACAACAATAACAATAACCTATTTATACTTGTAATGTCTTCATACTAAAATAGCCTTCAGAATAAAAGAAAATTAAAATGATAATGTTGAAAACAACTCATGAGTTTTGTAATGGACCAGTATTCTGCCCTTCCTACCGGCCTGGCCCTGCCAGTAGAGGTCAGACTCATCGGAAGACTATAACTGAGTATCTCTGATTACACTCTTGTCAGTGGTATGTCTTGAGTTGGAAGGGAAGAGAGGGAATGGTTAGATACCACATGGATATACTCCTATCCTGCGACTTGATACCTTTGAGTCTCAGATAGGTCTCCCCTTTCCTGAGGGAAGAATAACCAAGGAAAGATTTCTCTGTATGAATACCCTCATGAAGGTGAATTGGCACAGTCGCTGCAACAGTGAGCTTGAGCATAGTGGGATTGTGAGGATGGCAAGTAGAGGACATGTTGCCAATGTGTAGGACACTATAGGTGCAGTATAGGACAGGTTTCAAGATTACAAACAAGAACTTAATAATAGGATACCACATGTAAGCAAGAAATAACTATTTTTGAAACAAAATAAGGGCTCAGCTAGTCAGAACTGGAAAGAGAGAGACCTAGAAACCTTTCATCTTTGGAGAGAAAGGTATTTTTCCTGATTTTTAAAAATGTATCTCAGAAAGCACTTCTGTGTTTTTGCTTTGTTTCCTTTTACTGAAATGTTTTTTATTATTTTTCTCAGAATATTACTCATTTACACGATTGACCTCAAATGTCGTTTCTTTCAGGAGACTTTATTTCACTTCCTTGAAACCAGATGTATTTTATTTGTTCCCACTACTTCATTCTTGTTTTTATTATCAGTGGAATATTAATAGCTGAAGAAATAACAGAAGTCTTCTTTTTATCATGTAAAAATATTTGGTGTTTATAGTAAGAGTTAATACTAGGATTATGTTCTTCCAGAGCACTTAACAATAGAAATAAATGTAGTCTTTTGAAAATTTTTATCCTATCCTTTCGTTTAACTATAGGCAAACCTCCCTTTAGGGAGGTGTAATTGAACTGAAGAAAGAGTAGCATTTACTTTAACGTCATAAACACCTCCTAAAATAGTCTGTTTAAAGGAAAAATGGCTGGCAGCAGGAAGGCCACAGTCTTTTTACATCCGGACTTCTCAAGGTATGTAAGATACCTAGCTTTCAGTCAGTAAGAGCAAGTTAGTATTGCTGCTACCATTTGCTCCTAATCTGTACTGGATACTACGGTACATCCCACGTGTCCCTCCATGGTTGACTTATGTTTGATCTCTTTGGAAGCTTTTGTTTTCCCTACACATAATAGTCACAGAAGTAAACTTTTCCATATTTGAGCAAGGCTCAGGAATTACAGAGGCTTTGGGGGGATTTGAATTTAGATAGAGTTGAAGTCAGAATGATCTCACAAAGATTTGAATTCACTTCTTGACATAGTGTTAGGACTATGAATGCCTCAGTACTATCTTGCTTCAGTCATTTGTAAAGGCGATTGTTTTATCAATTTACCTTTTATTGTAGTAGTAATACTTCCCATTGTATATATCTTAGCAATAAAAATATAATAAAATTAAAATTGTGGATAATCTCACTAACCTAGAGAGAACTACATGGTAACATTTTGACCTTTTTTTTTTTCTTAACATGTTACAAATGATGGCAAATGTGTTTCTAAACACGGTATCCATTTTAAGTGTGCAGCAATGTGTTGAGTCCAATCTTAACTACTGCTCAGTGAATTGATCAACTCTAAGGATGGGATCTAAGGATAGGAGTTTGTCTTTGACTCTGTCATTGAACAGATTGGGTTACTGTCTACTTCTTACTGTTAATATTGCTTGCCATTATTGCGTACAGCGATGAGGAAGGCCATCTCCCTTAGACAGTGGTATATAATCTCTGACCATCTTTCCACCTCCATCTTACAAACAATACATCCTATGCTGAGATAATTACATACAGCTGTGCTAATATTGATAAAGTATGAAAAGCAAAAATGGATGAGAATTTTTCCCCAGAGAGGATAAATGTAAATGCTAATAGACTTTTTCTATCAAAGAAATAGGTAGTTTATTTTTAAAAGAAGAATAAAGAGGTGGTTAAGTAGACAGTAAAATGTGTACAGTTGTTTTCTTCTCAGTTTCCTTCATGACATTTGGGCTTTGTTTGCTATTTGCTCTGTAGGAAGCCAAGCCAGACCGTCTCCTTGTGCTGAAGGTCCTTTGGAATGATTTCTTGATATGCTACTCTTCCCGTCCCTTGCTCTCCTGGTCTGTATGGTGGGCCCTCTCCACCTGTGGCTATTTTCAAGTTGTGAACTACATACAGGGCCTTTGGGAACAAGTGATGCCTTTTCGCCAGGCTGTTATTTATAATGGTGGTGTGGAGGCTGTTTCAACCTTACTGGGTAAGCAACGTGGGGTGGTGAGAGGTTGATTGGAGGAGGAGTTTCCTCTGTGTTATGTAACTCTAAATCAGATATATTCTCCCTGTCCAAAGTTGAAGTAGTCTGAAAGAATATTTTGCTTACTTAGAGCTTTGATTTTATAATTTGGGGGGAAAAAATGTAGAAGTGCTCAAATAGTGAAGAAGTATTACAGAAACTTGAACTTTTTATAACTTTTGGAGAAACATAATACAATGATTTTCAAAATAATTTTCTTTGCTTATCCAAGTTTCCATCATCTTTGCACCTACTGTGTGTTATTACCATTTGAGGGACCTCAGGTAACTTACATAAGGAAGTTGCACTGCCAACGCAGCGGAAAAGAGTTCGAATCCTGCTCTGAAGGAGAAAGGCAGGCAGTCTTCTCCCCATGCTATTACAACGTCTGAAAACCAGCTGTTTACAGGTGTAGGGTCAGCCATGCGTTGATTCTGACTCAATAGCACAAAACAAAAGCATCATATTACTACCTGATGAGAACTGTATTAGTTCATACAATAGTTTTTAATATCTGTTTAGTGCTTTAATATGTTGTAGGCACTGTTACTAAAACTATGTATTTTAATTCCATTCCCATAAAATTCCTGAAACTAGCACACTTCTTATCCCCAATGTACAATTAAAAAAACTGACATATAGCTAGGTCAATAAACTATAAATACCATATAGATTGTAAGTATTAGTCAAGATTTTAATTCAGACAAGATGCCTCCAGAGCTTTTCTTTTTGACAACATATGTTTTTTCCATTTTCTCATTTGTTATCTACCTCATTAAATTGTTGAAAGGCTTTACATGATTTCTGACAACACTGTAACTGTGTCTGACACTCATAAACGGCTTCAGCACATTGTAACTATTGACATCTTCACAGTCATTTTACCAAAGTTCAGAGAAGCACCTTTAAATGAAATGCTTTTATCAAGCTAAAAGCAGTGTTTTCTTTGGACTCTTCCATCTGCTTTTGCCCTAATACATCCTCCTCCTCCTCATTCCACACAGCAATATCCCTGGTTCTGTGACCTCTATTTCCATCTCACTGCCACCTACCTTAATTTAGTCTTTCATCATCTTTCAGTGACTCCATATTGTTTAATTCATTGAATCCAAATTTCTGTGCTTGAATTTCTGCACTCTCTATAATCCGTTAACTACTCCTTTTTTTTTAACTACTCCTTTTTGGCAATGAGTTATCTCTTTGAGATATAAAAGAAATGAAACAAATGAACGAACTATATAGATAAGAGATACCAAGACTCATGGAAATCTTCCGAGAACCAGGAAGTAGAAGCTGAAGAGACAAAGACCTTCCTCCAGAACAGACAGAAAGAGAAAGCTTTCCTAAGAATTGTGTGTTTTGTTGTGTACCATCGAGTTAGAACTGATTCATAGCTGATCTGCCAGTGAGTTTTCAAAGACAATAGCTCTCACAAGAAGAGATTGCCCATCTTTCTGGAGCAAAGCAGCTGGAGGATTTGAACTGCGTCCCTTTAGGTTGGCAGCACAGCTCCTTACCACTAAGGCACCCAAACTCCTGAAAATAGGTGCTCTGAACTAGCCTCCTAAACTAGGAGGGGGGAAAAAAATTCTGTTCGTGAAATCCATCCACTTGTAATATTTCTGTTTTAGCAGCAATAAAAAAGACAAATTTGTTTTTTTCAAATTACTTTTCTCTTTTTGTTTTGTAGGTGCTGTTGCTGTGTTTGCAGTTGGTTATATAAAAATATCATGGTCAACTTGGGGAGAAATGACATTGTCTCTGTTTTCCCTCCTCATTGCTGCTGCCGTGTATATCATGAACACTGTGGGTAACATTTGGGTGTGCTATGCATCCTATGTTGTCTTCAAAATCATCTACATGTTACTCATCACAATAGCAACGTATGTATTTTGGTTCAAAGAAGTACTGTGAGGGGATAAGCTTTGCTTTCTTTACAAAATGAGAAATTAATTTTGTTAGTTAAATGAGGCAATTTTTGCATTGTTTATATTATACATTATTATATATTATGTTATGCATTATATTTCTGTTCCATTTTTCTCCTGAGGAAGCAGTTAGGCAAGATTCACTTATTCCCTTGTTTATATGTTTCTGGTATCTCAGATGTTTGCATCAAGCCCACAACAGCTACCAATATAGATTGAGAAAGAAATTAACAGTAGACGAGAACTATTTGTAAAGAACTACATGTAAAGTAAAAATTATAACTGTCTAGGAAGTATCTTGCTTGTTCATTCTTCTTTTTATTTTTTCCTAAAGTTTCCAGATTGCTGCAAACCTCAGCATGGAGCGCTATGCCCTGGTATTTGGTGTAAATACCTTCATTGCCCTGGCATTACAGACTGTACTCACTTTAATTGTGGTAGATGCCAGTGGTCTTGGCTTAAAAATTACCACTCAGGTAAGATGATCTGTTTCAACTGAAGATAATCTGACTTGATCAGATGATAGGAGTAGAGCATTCTTAATGTAAACAAGTTCCAGCAATATAGACAGATAAAAAGAACAAAGTATGTGTTCCTCCTTGCTGCAGTCATCCTCTATCCATAGTTCTTTTCTTCTTAGAGGATTTGGGGCTATCATTTTTTATTAGGTATGAGAATCATCTTGAGTCTAACTAACCAGTAGCTTTAGGTGAGAGATAAATTATAGTTTTTCCAAGTCAAGTTCTTCTCTTCAACCATTAATTCTTCTTCATAGGTAATTCTATGCTTGAAATATTTTGTCCATATTTGAGATACCCAGCTTCATGCCATGGCCCTCTAAGTCTCTCCTTTATTTAAGGATGCCCTTTGCCCACATTCCAAAGTAATGATTTGTTGTTGACAAATAACATAATTTCTTATCATATGACCTATTGAAAAAATACCTGCACAAACACTCAGGAACTATATGGATATTTCTAATCATTTAGAAACTGTATAATTGTATTTACTTTCATGCATTGGGAGTTTGTAGTAGAACTTACTCCATATTTCAATAAAGTAAGCAATTTAATCAAGTAGTTCTTGGTTTAATCCAGCTCAATTCAAATTATTCCTTCCCCACTATTTTCTCCATATATACACTTACCTGTTAGTTTTCTTGGAAGACCCAACATATTCACAATTATTAGCTTGCTTTTTATTGAAGAGATGTAAAATAGAAATAATAATACTTAATGTACTTGATGTGCTTTCTGAGTACTGTTGTTGTTGTTGTTGTTATGTGCCATCAAGTTGCTTGAGACTCATAGTGACCCTATGTACAACAGCCCTAAACTCTGCTCTATCCTGTGCCAATCACATTGCCTCTGACACACCCATCCCGATTACCCCAGTCACTGAATCAATCCACCTCATAGAGGGTCTTCCCCTCTTCTCCAAGGACCTGTCCCTCCTTACAATATGTCCAAAGTATGTCAGACAAAGCCCCAGAATCCTTGCCTCCAAGGAGCAGCCTGGTTTAACCCTCTCTAGGATGAATCTGTTTGTTTTCTTGGCAGTCCATGGTACATTCAATACTCTTCTCCAGCACCACAGCTCAAAGGCATCAATTCTCCTTCTATCCTCCCTAGTCATTGTCCAACTCTCTGATGCATAAAAAGTGATAGCAAAGACCATGGCCTATATCAGACGCACCTTAGTCTCCAGAGTGACACCATTGCTCTTCAGTACTTTGAAGAGGTCCCTAACAGCAGACTTTCCCATGGCAATACGTTTTTTGATTTCCTGGCTACTGGTGCCAAGAGTGTTGGCCGTGGAGCCAAGCAGACTAAAGTTGTTAACAATCTCAATCTCTTCACCATCCATCCTGATGCTACCAATTGGTACAGTGATGAGAATCTTTGTCTTCTTGAGATTGAGCCTCAATCTATTTTGAAGGCTGCCATCCTTGACCCTCTGCAGCAAGCATTTCTTCTTCTGAAGGGTTGATTTTAGGATTAGAGATTCAGAAAGTGAAAGACATGTTAAGTGATTTATTTTAATCAGATGGTTTCTTATGTGTGACTGAGCTAGTATTTAAACCAGTGTCTAACTATGAAGTGCATAATTTTCCCAGGTCTGCACTCTCTTGCTTTCTATCTGCTCACAATTACAACCAAAAGAGAAAACAAACATGATGACCCCTGAAGGATTAGGTGCTTATGTACTTTGGGGATGGAGAGTAAGAGAGAAACAAAGTCCTTATCATTCTGCCTTTTTCAAAAGGACAAGTTCCAGGTATAGTTGAAATAACACACAGTTGACATCTGAAGCTGAAATTTGACAGCATGTTCCTGTAGAAATGGGGTTTAAAGACATGAAACAATAGGACTTTATAGGCTAAACCCTAACTGTCATAATTAATTAGGAGGGACCTCTGGTAGCCTCGTGGTAAGGAATTGTACTGTCAACCTAAGACACAGAGTTTGAATCCGGCAGCTACTCTTCAGGAGAAAGATGAGCAGTCTCCTCCTGTGTGATTAACCACCACTGAAACCCTCTGGATGGTCAACTATGAGTCAGTCCTGACTTGACGGTACTACAACAACAAAAGTTTCAAAGATATCAAAGTTTACATGATGTCAAGGATTTAGAATTACATTGTGTTTATAAGCTTTGGTTAAGCTTATATTTAATTATACTTAAGAATAAGATGATGATTAAATAAACACTAAAATACTGGTTCAGGAAAAATTCTTTAAAAGATAAAAGGTAATCTTTTAATGGGGAGAGTGTTGAAAAGATTGACATTGTCGAAGATTTCATCTTACTTAGATTTACAATTAACATCCTTGGTACCAGCAGTCAGGAAATAAGGAGACTTACTGCATAGGGGAAGTCTGCTGTCAGACCTCTCCAAATGCTGAGGACAATGTTAGTTTGCAGACTAAGGTGTGCTTGATTCAAGCCATGGTCTTTTCAATCGCTTGATATGCCTGAGAGCTGGACAGTGAATAAGGGTGACAGAAGAAATTACACCTTTGAATTGTGGTGTTGAAGGAGAATACTGAATAACCCATGGACTGCCAAAAAGAACAAACAGTTATCTTGGGGGGGAAAGGCAGACAGAGTGCTCCTTGGAGTCCAAGATAGCCAAACTTCGTCTCTTGGGCATGCTAATGAGATAGGATATTCCTTAGGAGAGATACATCATGCTTGAAAAGACGGAGGGTCAATGAAAGTGGGGAAAGACGCTCAAAGAGATAGACTGACACAGTGACTGCAGCAATGGGCTCAAGTGTATCAGAAATGCTGAGGCAGGCTTCAGGTCATAGGTCACTATGAGTTGTATTCTACTCAACAGCACTTTACAGCAATACAGAGAAGGGGCACTCTGGTGGTGTAGTACATAGGAAGTTGTGCTGCTAACCTAAAATCCATCCATGCCTCTCTGGTGCTTCAGATCCACCAATGGCTCTGGCTCTGAGGGAGAAACATGGTCAGTGCCCCCCTTGCAATTTATAGTCTCAGAATCTCAAAACTCCAATGACAATTCCGAGTATAATGGGATATGTTTGACCTTCTACTGCCCTCTTCTGGAGAAAGAATGAAGGTTCCTGATCTTCAGGACTGCCTGTTCCTATACTCCAGGGGGGAGACTAGAACAATAATGATAAGCACAATCGTATTAATATTAGAATTATATTATTAATGTGCATGATTTTGCCTGTCTCAGCATTTCAAAGTATTAGTTCCATTTTTAAATGAAGAAGTTAAGACCCAGAGAAGATTAAGTATCTTGATAAAGTTCACATACAGTTGGTAAAGAATGAAGGCAGGGTTCTCCCTCAGGGAGCCAAGCCCCATTCCACCATGATGTGCCACTGCATTTATCTTCAGCACCTGTCTCATGTGTAAACAGACAATGATTTTTGAAGTTTATTGAGAAACACTAGGTATACCTTTACAGAGAATGTTCACATGTATGTACCAAAACAGTTCATCTTCTACTTGCTAATTCTGTGAATTATTGCTTTCCCCTCTTTATTTAGTTCTTGATCTACGCTGGCTATTTCGCACTCATCGCTGTGGTTTTCCTGATTAATGGTGCAGTCAGTATTATAAAGGAATACAGAAAGCCAGAAGATCCAGAATCGATTTCTCAAGTCACTACTTCATAATACACTGCTGACAGACTTCTTCTTATAGCAAGAACTCTGCACAGCAACTGTGCCTGGATGTATTTAATTTTTTAAGGTGTAGACATATATATTTATGAATGTGCATTTCATGGCTTCAAAGCAGCCACTTTACTAACATGTTGTATTATTGGACTATTATAATAATATTCAAAGGCCAGAAGTGAAGTTTATTTCATGAGTTATTTATGAGAGCTAAATTTAAGGATGATTTTTTTTCCCCCTCATTCAAAGGTAAACTTGATTTTGAAACGAAGTAATCAAGCAGCACATGACTTGTACACTTGATTAGCAAATGAGTTGGATGTATTAAAAGTCAAGTACTTCTGTATCCCCCTGTCCAGATTCTTGCCCCAGTGGGACCAGTTTTTCATAGGGCCCACAGGATATTAGAGGTCAGGATGGAATTATGTTCTAACAATACTTGGCCTCCGTTTAATTTTATTTCTGTGTTTACCCATATGCATTTGTATTTCTTCAGATGAAAATTGTTTCTGTTCACTGTTAATATTTGCTCTGATTTTGTGTTCTATAGGAGTATGTGTCATTTTTAATTTATTTTTTAAAATTCATTGTATGAATGTTCTCAGTTATGGTCTTGGGAATTATGAACTTGTGTAGATCTACTTTAGAAGTTCATTTTTTTCCATTGTTCATATGCTTCCTAGAGAAGCTCATTTAGTTTGTGGGGGGAGGGGAGACAAGTTTTGAAGCTACTGACAATCTAAGAGAAGAGACTTAATCAGGAAACTTAGATCTACTGCTAGTCTTTAATTCTTTATTATAAAAGATTATTCCATATTAAAAGTCTGCATGGGCTAAGTATATAACTAGCCTATATTTTTTATTTGCATTTCCTTTATTTTGAAAATGATATCATTGTTTAAAAAAATCATTTCATCTCCACATAAAGCTTTTTCTTTTTCTTTCTTATGCACTAGAAGTTGAATTTTCCAAAGCCTGTTTCATAAACTGAGCCTCTTTAATTATTTCAATGAGATGGAATCAGCACTTGCTGATTCCTGGATTTTTTGCATTAAATCTGTCTTGTTTCTAAAAGTGAATAAATTCTGAATATTTGCTTAAAGTAAGATTTCTAGCGATTCTGTTTTCAAGTTACTTGAAGACATGTTCTGTATAAATTTAATTTTGAAACCACCAAGTGACTTTAAGTATACATGGCACATGAAAACTAATGTAAACTTTCAACAAAGCCAGTTTTATTGCCTTATCTTGAAAAGGTCTCTAGGTAGGTGCTTTCAACTAGAATGTTAAATGTCTTAGAATAACACAGTTAAACAGTGTTAATAGTGTAATGGTTGTGAAACTTACGTTCTTGTTTTAAGCTGGAATCCTAGAAACAAATGAATGAGAATCCATAGGTCATATTCTATTCACCTTCTTTTCCAAATGAAGGTAAAGAAATGAGTTCTGACTAAAGAAGGAAGGAGAAATAGTACCTTAAAAGTAGCAGCTGCTAACTTTATATTTTACAGATGTCTTTTTTCTGAGTTTTGGGGTTTTGTTGTTTAGGGGTTTTTTTATACAATATCGAGAATAGTTTACTCAGACATAATAGAAAATTGAGGGATTTAATGAATTAATTTCTTAAAGAAATAGACTGTGGTACAAGAAATTGTTCACATTACCAAAGCAATATTTCCCATTATTTAATTTGGAGTCGTGGCAACCTGAGTCTTTTTTGAGACAAGAGAAAGTTTATCTTTGTGTATGATTGTATCATATGCTAAATCTAATCTGCAAGTTGTACTATACTCAGTTTTGCAAAAATGTGAAGTAGTATGTTGTAACTTTTTATTCAACTCTATAAATTATAAAAATTATTTTTATTAAATAAATATTTTACATTTTATTTCCTTTTTATTTAAAATTATTTAAAAACATTAATTACATGTTTTAGTCATTTCTCTTAGGATAAATTTTATATTAAGCCCTTTTTTGTTCTAAGCTTCTTAACTAATCTTTGGTTAGCCTGTTAATTCTTTTATTACCTTGTGATCTCTACTTTTGATTCTTGCTCTGTATTACTATTGTTACTCCAATTTTTCATGGCATCACTTTGTACTGTTATTTTTCTTGGTCTTCATATTGGCAGCATACCTTTTTTTTACAGCATCATTGCCTTTAAAAACCTAAGATATTCATATTCCCTTTGATGTTAACTTTGAAGATACGTTAAAGCAATGGCAGAAGGTACCATTTTGTTTTGAAACTTTGTAGAACCTTTCCACTACACTGAAATATTCTGGTACTCATTTGAGAAATATTGTTCATTATATTCCCGAAGTTAAATCATCTTTTCTCACAGTATTCATTCATATTTCATTCTAAAATCTATTTCATTATTAATCATCAAAGACTGGAAAATTTCCATACAAAGGAGAAAATATACAACTTTCTATGTCTCCAGTTAAATCCCCAGTATTGTACTTCTTTTAAGATTGTAAGCTTCTGAGCAGCGACACATTGTGGTGCCAGATGAATATTGTATTATAATGGATTATTTCTATGAAGGACTCAGTATAGACTTCCAACACTACATTGCTAAATGCCCATATTTTTAAAAGGTCATGCCAACAACAAAAGAAAATATTATGATTAAAGTGCCTGTTGATGATCTTAGTTGACTGGATGGTTTTGTCAAGGCATTGTTGTGCTTGAATGATAGACATTGAATGATATCTACTTGTTGTACTTTTTATGACATTTTCCTAATAATTAATAGCTTATATTTGTATAACATACTGTACTTGGGGGAGAAACATTTGTAATATCCCCTTTATGATCTCATTTATTTTTGAAAAAGTATCTTTAAGTACTAACACCTCTTTTCCTTTCAAGAAGTGCAAAATTCCAGATTTGCCACTTGGGTAAAGCTGTAATACTTTTGGGAAATTGGCTCTGTTGAGTCTCACCTTACTCATCTGTAAGTGGAGATCATACTTGTCTCACAGAGTGATTGTGATGAAATGAGAGAATGTATGTGAAGACATCTGTCACTTTATCAGACACTGAGTATCCGTTCCTTTCTGTTTACTGCCTATTTAATATTTCTAGTTGTTGTTGTTGTTATGTGCCATCAAGTCGCTGATAACTCATAGCGGCCCTGTACGACTCATAGCGGCCCTGTGTACATTATCTCTGAACTCTGCTCTATCGTGAGCCAATCTCAATCTCTGACAGACCTAATCCCATTTCTCCAGTCACTGAGTCAATCCATCTCATCCTGGGGTCTTCCGTCCCTGTGCTGTCCCTCCACCTTTCCAAGCATGATATCCTGCTCCCTCCTGGTCACGTGCCCAAAGTATGTGAGATAGAGCCTCCAAATCCTTGCCTCCAGGGAGCAGCCTAGTTTCACCCTCTCCAGGACAGACCTATTTGTTCTGGCAGTCCACGGTATGTTCAACACTTTTCTCCAGCATCATCCTTAATTATTGTCCAGCTCTCTGATGCATAGTAAGTAATTACAAAGACCATAGCCCGTATCAGATGCACCTCAGTATTCAGATTTACATTATTACTCTTCTCTACCCTAGAGAAGTCCCTGACAGCAGATTTTCTCAGTGTAATTTGTCTTTTAAAATCCTGACTGCTGGTGTCAAGAGTGTTGATTGTGGAACCAAGCAAGCTGAGGTTATTAACAGTCTCAATCTTTCTCTATCATGAAGCTGCCAATTGGCCCAGTGGTGACAATCATTGTTTTCATAATGTTGGCCTTCATTTCGTATTGAAGACAACAGTCCTTGATCTGTGGCAAACACCTCATGTCCTTTCCAGTTTCAGCAATCAAGGTTATATTATCAATCTCATAATAAAAAATAAGCAGAAACTTTTTAAAAAGTATACATTTTTTAGAAAGTACTTCAAAGATAAAGAAAAAATGGCTCCTGCCATTAACGAACTTAAAATTTATGATAGGAAAAGATAAATAGAAAGGATAACACAAATGCACAACAATAATACAAGATAATGTACCAGCTAACAACAATTAATAGCTTTTGCTTGCAAAGTGCAAATACAAATAATCAGGAGTGGCTTTGGGAAAGGGGTAATATTTGAGTTGGCCTTGCAGAATGGATAGGATTCTTACAGATTTCTTCAATGAGGAAAAAGATATATTAAGGATATAAAGAGGTGTGGGTATATAAAAGACAGGATACAATTAACAATACATGCAAAGTTGTTATGTGCCATCGAGTCACTTGTGACTCATATCGACCCTATGTACATTAGCTCTGAATTCTGCCTGTCCTAAGCCAATCTCATCATCTCGAACAGTCCTAATCCCATTTCTCCACCCACTGACTGAATCAATCCATCTCATCTTAGGTCTTTCTCTCCTGCGCTGTCCCTCCACCTTTCCAAGCATGGTGTTCCTCTTCAAGGACTGGTCCCTCCTGGCCACATGCCTAATTATATGTGAGGCAGAGCCTCAAAATCCTTACCTCCAGGCAGCTGCCTAGTTTCACCCTCTCCAGGACAGACTGCAGTGTGTTCAGTACTCCTCTCCAGCATAACTCAAATGCATCAATCCTTCTATCTTCCCTTATTGTCCAGGTCTTGGATGCACAGCAAGTAATTATGATGATCATGGACACGATCAAATTAAAGACAATTTTGGGGTTTTCTTAAGGATTCTGTAGAGAAATAGCCAGAGAAAGATTTCTTTTAAAAATTAACCTATTTGTGGAGCTCTGGTGGCCTAGTGCTGCAGTCCCAAAGGCACTCAGTTCAAGAAGGGGCATGATGGTACAAAATAAGAAAAAAAAATTAAAAAATTAACATGCTTGTCTAAAATCAAGTAACAGGCTGGAGATTCCATCCATTTTAAGTCCACAAAACCAAAGATCACATAAGAAGAGCAGAACAGTTCTGGCAAGATGTCTATTTACTGTCTGCAGGCAGAATACATCCTAGGGAAAACACCATTTTACTTTTAAGTCCTTCAGCTAGATAAAGCACACCCATATTATATAAGGGAATTGTCTGACTTAATCACATACAACTACTTGTAACAGCAATTAGACTAGTATTTGGTCAAACAATGGCACCATGCCGTAACCAAGCTAATACATAAAAATGAGCCATTACAGTCCACATTTGCCAATTTGGCACATATACACATCTCTTTAAACCATTCTTTTTTTTATTTTTTTAAATTTTATTAGTTTTAATGAACATTTACAGGGATTTCGGGTTTTCATTCCTTCATTGCTGCACCATTCTCTCTACCCTCCTCCCCAGTTTGTTCTTCCCCGCCATCCGAATGTTTTAATTGTCCAATTGCCACA